CGCGCGCCCCCGCGGCCGCCCGCCGGCCCAGCCTCTGTTTTTGTTTTGGTGGAGCCCGCGTGCAGCTGGCGCGTGTCGAGTCACGTGCCCGAGTCGGGCGGGGGAGGGCTCGGGGAAGGGTCCAGGCCCCTAACCGACTCACCGGGGGGTCCGGGCGCTTGCGTGTGGAATTGGTCTTGGGGAGCAGAAATTGCTTTTGTGGTCGCAGCTTCCCTCCCGGCCGCCTTCGTCCCCTAGCTGGAGGACCCTCGGCCTGGGGTGATTTGCTCAGAAATAGACCAGCCTTCACAAGTGTGTTACTGAGCTTGTAGGAGACTTACAAGGAATTCTCAGTTTGGGCTGCAAATTAGGAAACACCGAGAGCCTTAAAAAGAACTGATACCCAGACAGACCTATACCAACTGATCACAAATCCAAAGGTCTGGACAGAATATGATTTTACAGCCAAGTCTGATGCATACTGATGAGTAAAACTTTACAGAGGTAACCAGCTAGGTGGACTAAAATTGTGAAATCGTCCATACTTAAGTACTTAAAAGCAAAAATAGTTTGAAAACAGTAATTAACACTGTTCTGTTATTAAGCGGGGTCTCTGTGTGCTTTGCAAACCGTTGCTCTGCAAACAGGGATATACTCCATGAGATAGTGTTCACTTCATTTTTTAATTGGAGGAATAAAAATTAAGTAGGTTAGGTGAGCATTGATCTGCAACTAGTACCCCTGGAGGCAGATTCCCAGAGTCTCTGTATTTTTCCACTACTACTTGCTGCGCTGGGGGTGGGGGTGGGGTGATTTTTAATTTAAGAGCTCTGTATAGGACTAGGAATAGTTATATATATGCTTTAGGGTCGCTGAGTTCCTGTTTGCACATTTCTACTGTTGAGATTGGGGGGGGGGCAGAACGCTTTGTTTATTTGAAAAGGATGGAGAATCACTTGATGAATAAGGCCTACAGGTTACCTTTTCAACAAGCTTCCAGTGAGGAAAGGAGAGAGGTAAGGACGGGGTCCCTGTTAAGTGTTTTCTTCTGGGCGTTGGACGTAATGTGTAAGATGAAGGGGAGAGTGCAGAAGATGGAGATGTTTTCATGGCATCTCCATGCATATCCGGAGAGTCGCCAGGTTGCAGAACCATATATATATATATATATAGTTCCAATGGCTACAGCACATTTTGGAGGAAAAAACCCCTCTATTTTGGAGTATAGAAATTTCACTTTTACATCCTCCTTCCACCCCTTTTTATGTTTCTCCTGTCTGTGGGAACATTGAGATGTGGGAGTAGTCTTGTTTGTTTTGAAAATGTACATTGATATGGACTGTAAGGGTATTCTAGGGCCGGAGAGAGAGCTCTGCAGTCTTAAGTGCCCACCTGGCAAGTGAAAGGACCAAGGTTCAATTCCTGGTACCACATGTCTTGTCATCATGGTGCGGAGCCGGCCTCTCAAACCGTGCGTGGTGGTGCACCCCTGTAATCCCAGCGCTGGGGAGGCTGAAACGAGGCTCACTACGAGTCTGAGCTGTGTAATGAGACCCTGTATCGAATAAATACATTAAAAAAAAAAAAGATTAAAGGTATTCTAAATAAAACAGTAAAGTGAAGTTTCTCCTTGAAAACAAAGGATTCCAAATGTAATAATTTGTGAACTAAAATTGTGTACTGTGTCATGAAGATCTATGTTTCCACTAATGATTGCTGTCAAACTTGTGTTGGAAGTTTGAGGGTTGGTGTTTACATCGCTGGCTATTTTAGTGTGGGAAGTTTACAGATGCACCCTGGCAAACCTGAGGTAGACATAGTTGGCTGTGGTTATAGGTAGAAATGGCTGTCCAGCCCCTCTCTCTCTGTGCGTGGTCACCCCATCTAGTTAGCACCAGTGACAGTTTCTCTGGCTTTACCAACAATGGTTTCTTTGGCATATCTCCGCTTAGTTTATACTTTTACATCTTGGGTACCTCCTAAAGTAAATTTCTCTTTATTTCTTCTCAGAAAACTAAAAGTACCCTCTCTCTGTCATCTCTTAACTCCTAGCACACTTGTCTCATTGCGTGTATCACAGCATGTCTGTACTATTGTTTCTCTTCAGCTTGTTGAGTGTCCCTGCTAAATTGAGTTCTTCAGTGGTAGAAATGATACACTGTAAGCGCTTTGACCCATTCCCCATTCCAGTTAAATTCACTACTTTTTGAGTTGCATCAAAATATGTGTTACTTTCACCCATCTGCATTCCAGTTGTCTTCCTCTGATGTGAACTAGAAAGCTAAACACACACGTGCTTACACCGAAAACAGTACAGTACCACACAACTGGACTCATAAAAGGAATAGGAGGGGGCAAAGTACACTGTTTATCAATTCCTTCCCAGGTTCATTCTGCTGACCTATAGGACAGTGGAATTTCTTCTATGTTGGCATACACTGGAGAGGTGGGCTTAATGCCCACGCCGGAAGGAAGAAATGGCACATTATCAGTGCACGTAAGTTCATGTGCCACAAAGTATGGGTGCACCCTCATGATTTCGTTACACCTTAAGTTTCAGACTTAGTATACAAAGTTATTTTAGAGCAGCACTGTCCTGAAGAGCTTACTGGGGTGAAGAAATTTTAGAGCTGCATGATCCACTAGCTACTTGAGGTGCTGACTGCCTCAAATGTGGCTAGTGCAGTATACTATTGGAAATTAATTTCTAGTTGATCGAAAAGTCATAGCCACTAGTGGATACTGTGTTAGATGACAGTTAAAATTCAAACCTAGTGTTTAGAGGGTGAATGTTTAAGGTATTTTGCCTTTAAAAGAAAAATCTTGGTTCTTCTAGGGCTAAAGCCAGTGCTTCCCATTTGTAGATTATAAGGTGCTTGCTGGGTGGTTTTTGTGGTCCTGGGGTTGAACCTAGAGTCTTCACATTGACTTATATCTCAGTCTTCTTTTTTATCTTTTTTTTTTTGGGTGGGGGAAGAACTGGGGTTTGAACTCAGGCCCTTGAGCTTACCAGGGAAGCATTTATTCTACTGAGCTGTCTGCCTGGCCCTTGTTTTTTGTCTTGAGATGAGGTCTCACTAAGGCAGCTGCGCTGGACTCACTTTTAGAATCATCCTACATCACCTTCCCAGAGTTGTGGGGATTACATGCTTTTGTCATGGAGCCCTGGTGGGTGATTTTATATTACCCTATATAAATATAAATAACATATTAATATAATATATATACGTTTATTCTATATGAGACCTTCATTTTTATTGAGTCTTATCTGTGTGTTCATTGAGTTGCTTACACATAGTAGTTCATGTGGCTTTTTTTCAGCAGAGTGGAGTGGTTCAGAGTAGTTACAATTAAGAGTAATTAAAAGTGCATGTGAGGCCTTCG